CATTGCCTCCTGACATCATTCTTACTTCCTGGACCAAATTCTAAATTCTTTGAGAGCAGGGGCCCTAAATCACTTCTGTACCCCTCACTGAATAAACTAAAATACTGGACCATTAAAATCTCTTTTCCTCTTCCCTCCTATTAGTTAAGAACTGTTGCTGACTTAGCTTTTAAGAGAAATAGATACATCACAAAACAAGTGAACTGATTTCGAGATTTCATTAAGAAACTCAAGTTGTAGCAGACGCTGTGTACGATGTTTACTTTTATATGTCCCGGCCAAGGGGTCAAAAGTTATTCTTGGTGTGTCTGTGAGGATGTTTCTGGATGAGATTAACATCTGAATTGCACAGACTGCCCTCCCTAATGTGGACGTCCCTCATTAAATCAATTGAAGACCTGAACAGAACAAAAAGGCTGAGTAAGATGGAACTCCTTCTGCCTGACTGTTGAGCTGAGACTTCGGTCTTTTCCAGTCTTGGGACTTGGATGAAATACTGGCTCTTCTTGGGTCTCCGACCTGCTGGCTTTTTAGACTGGAACTACACTTTAGCTCTCCTGGGTCTCACACTTTCTGGCTGCAGCTCCTGGGACTTCTCAGGAGGCTTTTGGGAGCCAATTCCTTTCAATAAAAACCAGCATCTCTCCCCGCTCCCCCCCCATATGTTATATATAGGTATACGTAAGGTACACACGCATCCTGTTTGTTCTGTTTCTCTGGAGACCCCTGGCTAATGCAGTGCAGAACACACACAGCCCAGCCATCTAGTCCCCCTGTATCTATGGTCCCAGGTAAAAAAGCTTAATCTTCAGAATGTTATCCCCTAAGGTATCAGACCCTAAAGAAAGATAATTAAAATAGCTAAGTGAATTGGGATGTTTTGGAAAGTTTGTTTTGTTTTGTTGTTTAACACTGAATATATACTAAAAATGCCTTTCAGAAAACTAAATTATCCAGAATGGCCTAGTTCATTTTCAATCTAGCTAAGCAAGTTCTTCATTATAATTTCTTGTAATGCAGACAGAATCCAAGAACAAACTATGTATTTTAAAAAAATCAATGAAAGAAAGCTGGTATACCTATATCAATGCTGGACAAAAGTAGACAGAACATTACCAACTATAGAGACCGCTAGATAAAGATCCATGGTTCAGTTCACAAGGCAACAATAACAATTCCAAACTTGTGTGCACCTGATAACATAACCTCAAAATGTAGAAAGCAAAAGTTGATAAAACTATAAGGACTAGACAAATCCATAATCACAACAGAGATAAACACATCCCCTCATTAACTGATAAATTTTTTTAAATCAGTAAGAATACAGTAGACCTGTACAACACGATTAAACAAATTTGACCGAATGAACATATACTGGGCAATGGATCACAAAACTTGATCATAAAAATGCTTCTGAAACTCACTTGCAATGTTTACAAAAACTGACCATATATTTTGCCATTAAGCAAATCTTAAATTTCAAATGACTGAAATAATATAGACTATATTCGCTGACAAGCACTCAATCCAGCTAGAAATCACTAGTAAAAACATAACTAAAACCTCCCTCCCTCCAATGTATGGAGATTAAGAAAAATTTCTAAATTACAAAAGGGTCAGTGAGGAAATCATCATAGAAATTACAAAATATTGTGACTTGGTAATGAAAACACTATCAAAACTCGTAGGATGCAGTGATTAGAAAATAACCAGGACTTCACTGGTGGCGCAGTGGATAAGACTCCGCGCTCCCAATGCAGGGGGCCTGGGTTTGATCCCTGGTCAGGGTTCGAACCCTGGGTTCGATCCCTGGTCAGGGAACTAGATCCCACATGCATGCCGTAACTAAGAGTTCACATGCCACAACTAAGAAGCCCGAATGCTGCAACTTAACTCCCAGTGCAACCGAATAAATAAATAAAATAACCTGTGGGACCTCCCTGGTGGTCCAGTGGGTAAGACTCTGCACTCCCAATGCAGGGGGCCCAGGTTCAATCCCTGGTCAAGGAACTAGATCCCACATGCATGCCTCAACTAAGAGTCCGCAAGCCGCAATGAAGACCCAGCACAGCCAAAATAAATAAATAAACATTTTTAAAAAAATGATAAGAGAATGTTATTATCTGCTTTATGCTAATACATTTGAAGTTTTAATAGGAACTGCCAAATCACTAGAAAATATATAATATCCAGAAAATTTTACTTACGAAGAACATAAAACCAAGCATCAACACTAAAATATGTTCCCACAAAGAAAATCCAGGCCCCCAGATGGCTTTATCACTAAGTTCTACCAAACATTTAGAAAGAAATAATTCCATTGTTAGACAAACTTTCCAAAGGAGAGGAAAATAGAAGATACATTACCACTCCTTTTATAAGGGTAGCATAACTTCAACACCAATATCTGACAAAGACAGTCTGGGAAAGTAAAATTAGAGGTTAATCTCACCCATGAACACAGATACAAGATTCCTACACAAAATACCAGAACAACAAAATCCTACATATAAAATGACCAAGTTAGGGATATGCCAGGTTGGTTAACAGCTAATGCTATTCTGGGACCTCCCTGGTGGCGCAGTGGTTAAGAATCCACCTGCCAATGCAGGGGACACGGGCTCCATCCTTGGTGTGGGAAGATCCCATGTGCCGCGGAGCACCTAAGCCCGTGCGCCACAACTACTGCGCCTGTGCTCTAGAGCCCGCGAGCCACAACTACTGAGCCCACGTGCCACAACTACTGAAGCCCGCGTGCCTAGAGCCCGTGCTCCGCAACAAGAGAAGCCACCGCAATGAGAAGCCCGCTCACCGCAACAAGGAGTAGCCCCTGCTCGCCACAACTAGAGAAAGCCCGCCCATCAATGAAGACCCAAGGCAGCCAAAAAACAAAAACAAAAACAAAAAACACAATGCTATTCTGTAAATGTGGCAAACTATATGTCAATAGACATTATGAACATTTGATAAAATTCAATATTCATTCATGTTCACATCTACTACAATTGTTACCCCCAAACCGGGTTCACCTCTTGATGAGTGTTGAGCCAAAAGACACAACCAAGCCAAAAAGAAGGAAGGATGTATTCCTTGCAGCCAGTAAGGGGAACAGCAGGATCTTTCCCAACGCCAAAAGTGAGGAAGTTTTAAGCTAAGGGTACATGCATATTCATGAGGGGGCTTTGGTGGTTGACGCAAGTCACATGGCTCAAGGTCATCATTCCATCCTCCGCCTGGGTGGGGGTCTTAGCTCTTGCAGAACTCAAAAGATGTGTATCAGATTATTACTTACATCCCTGGAGGAAGAACTAGGACTCTGCTTTATCGCCGAACTACCATTTCTTAACCGCTTTTCCTTTGTTCCTGCATTCTCTCACTTCCCTTAAGATCCTTAATTACTGAGACCTGTTCAAGGGCAAGCATTGTGGCCAGGCTTCGATCCCAACATGGCTTCGGCCAAAAATGGCTTTTTCTTATTTAAAGTTTTGGCCATGAACTCAGGACAAGTATGGTTAATAAACAGGTTATGCAGGAGACAAACTTCCACCCACCCCAGGCCAGGTTCTTGGAGGACTCTGCACAGGAGAAAGACTCTGTATAGGCGGAAGGCAAAACTGGACATCTCTGACAAGACAACAGGGAGTTCCCTCCCTCGGCCCCCCAGCAGGGAAGCATATCCTAAGAGTACACCTGCTTAGATACAGCTAAGAGCTTCTGTGACTTTGAAGACTCCATGGAGAAAGCTAAATCAAGACACAACTGGAAGAAATCTGCAACATACACATCCGAAAAAAGGCTGCTATTCAAAATTTATTTTTTAAAAAACTCCTACAAAGCGGGAATTCCCTGGCGGTCCAGTGGTTAGGACTCCACGTTTCCACTACTAGGGTTCAATCCCTGGTCTGGGAACTAAGATCCTGCAAGCCGTGCAGTGCAGCAATAAATAAATGTTTAAAAAATAATAATAAATAAAACTCCTACAAAGCAATGAAAAAAATACATCGGGGGAAAATTTTTTCTTGAACAATTAACAAAAAAGGACATCAAATAATGAATAAGCACATGAAAAGATGCCCAACCACAGGCATACTCAGAGAATGGAACACTAGTCAGCAGTGAAAATTAAACCACAGCGGGGCCGCAGGTTGGATGAATGTGTCAAGGTGTCAACACGAAGAAGACAGACACACCCACATCACTCACGCGAAACACACGATATGATACCGTAACATTAAGTTCAAGCCAGGCAAAACCAAACTGTACTGCTGAAAAACGCCTATACAACTGATAAATCACAAGGAATGGCAGAGAAGTGATCACCTCCCAAAGTGAGCGAGGGGAGAGGGCAAGGGTTGTGATCCGGAACAGGTGGGGGAGGTCTCTGGACACAACTTTATTCTGTTTCTCTTGTACACGTTATATATAAAAAAAACAACTATCAACTACAATAACGGCGCAGTCACTGCGACAGTAGTTGGGGAACGTTTAAACAACTACGGCGGCGCCTCAACATTTTGAAAAACTACTTACTTTGCGCACAAAGCGACACAATTTACCGTTAAGGAAAACAAGCAGAGAACAAGTCGGACAGACCCACTGATGAGAACGATGCAAGAACACGAGCCACTGTGGCAAGAACCCAGTGCGCAGGGTGACCGAACCGGGTGGGTACCCCGACAGGTGAAAGCAAGAAAACCGAGGTGGGCGCTGAGCCCGAGGCGGGCCCCCGACAGCCCGACCCCCCCTCCCCCCGTCCGGGCACCTCGCCCGCGGCTCCGACAGGTGCAGGCGGGCAGCTAGGGCTCGCGTCCACCGCGGGGGGGCGGTGAGGAGGGGGAACGGGTCCGCGAACTGCGAGGGTCCGAGGGGCGGGAGGGGGGAGGGGAGGGGAGGGACGGGAGCGGGGGAGGAGGGTCCGCTAGGGCCGGCGTCTCGGGTCCCGGGGAGGCGCGGCCCCGAGGGGGAGACCGGCGCCGCGTCCGCACCGCCGCCCGCCTCACCTCGTCCACCGTGCGGCGCGGGAGGTGCAGCGTCCCGAGCAGCAGCTTGAGCTTCACGGCCGACGAGAGGCCGTGGAAACAGAGGCGGATGTTGTCGATAACCGCAGCCGTGAGCAGGGACGCGATGCTGGGCGGCGCCCACAGCTCGTCCGTGGCCCCCAGCTTGTTGTGCAGCCACAGGCCCGTGTCGCTCTCCCGCATGGACGCCATCTTGAGAGGGAAAAAGCTGGCCACTGCCGAGCCGGCATCTTATGAGGACACCTACGCGCCCGCGGCGAGGACCCTCAACATGGCGGCGCCCGCAGGGCGAGCGGCTGTGACGTCACCAGAGGAGGCGGGGCCTCGGAGAGACGCTTCGCGGCGGCGCGAGGACCAGCCGCCGGCCGCCGTAACGTAACATGGCGGCGCCCGTGGCCCGATCTCGAGGGCCGCGGAAGATGACGTTAGCAGAGGAGTGGGCTGGCTCGGCCGACCTACGCCCCCTTCAGCCCTGAAGTGGACAGAACCCCGACGCGGCGGCTGGCGAGGGGCCCCGCCCCTCCACGGACGGCCGCCGGGGGGCGGCCAGGACGCCGGGTTCCCGCGCCGCTGGGAGCGAGGTTGTCGAGGTCAGAAGGACATTTAGGGAAATATTTGCCAAATAGAGTCGGGTGGGGTCCAGCTCTCGTCCGTTCCCTAGACAGCCCGCGTGCGCTGACCACCTGCGACGTGCCTGGCACAGTTCGAGTTGCTGGGGACACAGTGGTGAGCGAGTCGGGCCCAAACCTTCGCCCTCGCGGGGTCGGCGATCCAGAGGAGGCGGGCGGGGGGACCGAGTGACGGGAGTGCCGCATACCCTGCACATCAGGCCTGCAGGCTCCTGGGCGAGCTTTCTCAAGCCTGGCAACCTCTCTGGTCCCCAGTGCTTTGTCCCAAGACAGGACTGAGTGATGACGCCCGCGGCTGACCCGCGTCCTCGGGCTTAGCTGCAGGCGGCCTTCTCCAGGCCCCGCGGCCCCGCACCTACCGGGTCTGGGCCTGCCGTTTCCAGATGCCAGAACGGGGTGGGGGGGACACCAGCGGTCCGGCCCCCAGGGAGTCAGCCCTGCCTTGGGGGGCGGTTCTTACCAGCCACAGACCCCAGCCAGGCTTGTGCATAATCAAGGACAGCACAGAACTGGGGCTTCAGCCCACAGCGGTGCCCTCTCCCTGGAGGGAGGGAGCCCCTGCCTGGCCGACCCCTTTGTTCACCCCTTTGTTCCCCGCAGGCCGGCTTCCTTGCCTGCGCCCAGAGATCTGTGTCATAGCGCCCAGAATCGGGCTAGTACCTCTTGTGGATGAGGACAGCAAACTTGGAGGTGCTCCCAAGCTTGTTGGCAGACCGAGAGGGGTGGGGACTGGTGTACCAGGTGTGGCCGGGGCCCTTTTCCGAGGAGGGCATGCTGCCCCTCAAGTGAAAAGAAGTCGCATGCAGTGAGCAGGAGAAAGGGTGCCCCAGACAGGGCAGCTCGTGGTGCAGGGGGGGCCCCCAGCCCGGCCTCCTGGCTCCTCCCGTCCCAGCCGCTATATCTCTTCCTCTGCCCCCTCCCACCCACAGCTTGGACCCGGACCTCATCATCTCCGGAAAGAGTACCTGTGTATGAGCCCCCCTTCAGATCCCCCTCTGCCACCAGAGCCACAGCGCCCCAGCCTTTCCACTTCATCCAGACCTGTGAGGGGAGAGGGTCAGGGAGCACCCAGTGCCTCACCCGTCTTCAGGTACCTGGGCGGTGGAGAGGTCAGCAGTCCAGACCCTTCCCATCAAGCCTGCTGTCCTCTGAGACTGGAGTGAGGCCCGACTCTGCTTTTATTCTACTTGAGTCGGTTTTTCTTCCTTCCGCCAGCAATCCCGAAGCCCAGCACTACGACGTGTTGAAACTGTGTCCTGATGTGTGTGTCAGACATAAAGTACTGTTACGTGTATGTTGGTGTCTTCGGTGGACAGGTGCGATTGTGCTGATCTTGTATCCACATTTTAGCTTTCCATCCCCCTAGGATGAAACCCTCACCTTGCTTCCACTTGCCCCACCCTATGGACAGTCTACAGTGAGGACCCTCCTACAAGGTCCTCTCAGACTACATGTAAGAGTCTGGGAGGTGCATACCCCAGAGTCGGGGTGTTGGCCAGAGGTCACCAGGTAGTGTTAAAGAGGGCTGTTAAAAGTTCTCTAGGCGGACTGTGCTGGTTCACTTCCCACAGTTGACACAGGCTTGCGAGAGCCAATTGCTAAATTTTAAGGAATTTTATAAGCTTGTCATTAAACACTGCCATTGTTAAAAATGTAACTTCAGGGCTTCCCTGGTGGTGCAGTGGTTGAGAATCCGCCTGCCAATGCAGGGGACACGGGTTCAAGCCCTGGTCCGGGAAGATCCCACATGCCGCAGAGCAACTAACTAAGCCCGTGTGCCACAACTACTGAGCCTGCACTCTAGAGCCCACGAGCCACAACTACTGAAGCCTGTGCGCCTAGAGCCCGTGCTCCGCAACAAGAGAAGCCACTGCAATGAGAAGCCCGTGCACCACAACGAAGAGTAGCCCCCGCTTGCCGCAACTAGAGAAAGCCCATGCGCAGCAACAAAGGCCCAATGCAGCCAAAAATAAAATAAGTTTTTAAAAAAATGTAACTTCATTTTATTGTATTCATTTTACCCATTTCTGTCTGTCTGTTGTAACTGACTGGGATGGCGGAGGTCTGTATAACGTTGTACACCGCGCTTCTCATCGAACCCCACTTTCACAGATAACACACTGGCAGCTCGAACGCAGCAAAGATGGGAGTACTTACACCATGGATATTGGCAAATGCCACAGATCGGGGCTTGATTGTCTAGACTTAAACTGATAGAGAGAATGCTAACAATGAAGATTAAACTTAAAAGTATGTTGTGTCCGTAGTCATTACATTGTAAATAGCACACACACGATGTATAAACATATTCTGTAACCTAATTTCTTTCCTCAGTGGAGTACATGTCCAGTGAACCCAAACATCTTTAGTTTTTCTCTAATGAAAAGCAAAAGTAGCAAAACTTAGGCTTATTTAGCAGTTAGTCTTCCAGTGTCTTATTTGGGAATGACCTGGGTACTCGAGGAATTCCTGCTGTGAATGGAAGATATTACCTTTCAATATGTCATGTCAGTAAACAAAGGATGTTGTAGCCATCAGTCACTACAGCCGCATCCCGGACGGTGAGCCACGAGGGAGCTCAGGATGGAGACAGGACGCCACCGTCAAACCGTCAGCTGCTGCATCTGCCCCGACCCGCACAGTGCACCCGGAGGAAACTCAGGCTGCCAAAGCATGGGATACTGGCCCCAGATGACTACGATGCGTAGCAAAGGAATGATTTCATTAACAGTGATCCTTTGAAGCTCCGACTACCTGGTCTTTGTTGCAAAATACCCTTTGCATCCTGGCCCCTCCCTCACCTCTTCAGAGCAGTCTCTGCGTTATCTGAGATGCTGTGTCCTGGACTTAAGTCCTCAGTTTTGTCCACCAAATAAAACAACTCAACTTTTAGGTTGTGCTTTTTTTTTTTTTTCAGTCTACACCATCTAACTTAATTTAGCAGTTCCAAGTTACTAAAAATCTGGAGGAACCATTTTAAGAAGACAGTCCTAGAACATAATTATTCCTAAAGAGTTCATCTAAAAACTCTTACCTCATATACATTTAATTTACTTAAAAGTTTTGACTTGGCCTCTGTGCACCAGTGCCAAATCAAATCTTGGAGGTAGAGTTTTGGGTGAAGTAGTAAAGAATGGCTTTATTGCTTTGCCAGGCAAAGGGGGACACAGGGGCTCATGCCCCTCAAAACTGTCCCAACCCGGGAGGATTTGGTGGGTTTTATAGCAACGGTTCAAAGGCAGGTTGCTGGTAAGGATCAGAGTGTGTGCAGGGCCTGCGCTCCTTTAATCTGGCCTCAGGTGGTCTCTTGATGAGCTTCTCTGGAATGAAGAATGCTAACATCTTCCATTTGTTGGGGGTTTTAGTTCTGTAAAGAGCTCAAAGATATTGTTATGTGCATCCCTTGAGGGGGAACCAGGACCCTGCCCCAAGGCTGCACCATTGTTTCTTGGCCACTCCTCCCTTACTTCTGCATCCCCTCCCTTCCCTGATTAGCAACTGTTCAAATCTGCCCCTTGGGACTCAGGGAAGGTCATGGAGGCTGGAGTCTGATCTCTACAAACAAGAAACGGGGGACAAAGAAAGGTTTGCATGCCCAGGAGTCTCACAGGGTCTTGCTCTGTTTCAGTTTTATCATATCAAGTTATTTTTCTTGCTGACAAGTTTTGTAACAGGAATAATCAGATCTTAATTTGACTTGTAGTAAAGCTAATACAATAAAAGTGTTACACTTAATGCTGGTGAGTCTAAAGACGTGTCTGTATTAATTAAACCAGACTTGTTTTCATTCATTAAAAATTAATCCTAGATGATATGATCCTGAAATTCATTTAGGTTAGTCTTATATTTCTGAGTATCTACATAAGCACTTAATTTCCCTTAAGCCAATTAAATAGAGCTCTTTTACAAATTAGTTTTGGCAATACCACACATCTACAAAACACACATGCATAGATACATACAAACAGAGACCCTGCACTTCTGAAACCAAGCAGAATCCTGTGGGGCTCCTGGGCATGAAAGCCTTTCTGTGTCCCCCATTTCTTGTTTGTAGGAAATAGACTTCAGCCTCCACCACCTTCCCTGAGTCCTAAAAGGCAGGTCCAAACAGTTGCTAATCAGGGAAGGGAGGGGATGCAGAGACAAGGGAGGAGCTGCCAAGAAACAATAGTGCAGCCTTGGGGCAGGGTCCTGCACCACAACTACTGAGCTCGTGTGCCTCAACTAAAGAGCCTGTGTGCCGCAAAGTACAGAGCCCGGGTGCTCTGGAACCCGTGTGCCACAACTAGAGAGAAGCCCACCCACTGCAACGAAAGATCTTGCGTACCTCAACGAAGATCCTGCGTGCTGCAACCAAGACCCAATGCAGCCAAAAATAAGAAAATAAAAATAAATAAATAAGGGACTTCCCTGCTGTCCAGCGGGTGGGACTCCGCGCTCCGCGCTCCCAATGCAGGGGGCCTGGGTTTGATCCCTGATCAGGGAACTCGATCCTGCGTGCATGCAGCAACCAAGAGTTCACGTGCCGCAGCTAAGTAGTCCGCATGCCGCAGCTGAAGATCGGGCTAAGACCGGGCGCAGCCAAAATAAATAAATAAATGATAAATAAATAAATAAATCTTAAAAAAATAAAATTA